GTCCACCACAAAGAGAAGGTCCACCACAAAGAGAAGGTCCACCACAACTTCCAATAATATCAATGAAATGGGCAGTAAATACAGTCAAGTTAAACAAAAGGATAGGAACAATCACCGGAATGCTGATTCTGCCTGTTGTTCAATACAAGGTGGTACATAACCTCTCATATCTTTCAACTCAACACCAGACACAAAAATAGACAGTAAAGAATGACCATGAGTATCCTTTTGAAATTGATGAAATACTAATTTTTAAATTCTTAACACAAAACTTATCTGGCTTTTAAGCTAAACATTTGTTTAGGAGCTGTTTTGAGCTCCACCAAAATTCAATGTTGTGCAAAATAGTAGCGTAATTGTTAGGTTGGTTGTGAGTCACAATATTGTTTGCAAATGGATGGTATCATCATGGAAACAGTGTACTAAATATTTACTCACAGTTTTACAAAATGGAAAGAACAGTTATGTCATCACAATGTTGCAGCAGTAATTATGTCTGATCCTGTTTTCCCTTGTGATGTGGCATTTATTTAAGTTGTTTACTTTACCCATCCTTTGCCTTGGAACACGAATGTTGAGGACCATTAGGTAAACTGGATCTCCTCAAATGCTATGATACAGCTGACACTTTTGAGTTTTCCAAGGAAACAGGAAGATTTCCCAAACACTTAGGTGCAGCTGAGGTAGGTACCTCATTCATACTGAACAAAGTTTTCTGAAACCTCCTTGCAGTGACTTAACTAAGTGCCAGGAGCTGTTCCTTTATCCCCATTTATCTCAGCAGCTTTTTCTCAATTGACATTGCATTCCCATTCACCGAGCAGTTGTTTCTTCCCTCAGGTTTCACATGGATGGGAGGTAACATTGTTCAGTTCTCATTTTACTGTGAACAGGACAGTTGCTTTTTGCCTCATTCTATGCTGCCTAATTTCAAGTTTTCAAGTTTTAACTGGAGCTGTAAATCTGAGTTCTGGTGCAACAATTTTTGTTCTACCTGCAATTTTTAATTAGTGCGAGAGATCAACACTTTTGATCAGCAATGTTGATCTGGTGCAACCAATTATGTTGCAAGCTATTTGCAAGGAAATGATTCGGTTACAATACATGAACAGCATTTAGAGTAAAGGATGTTACTAAGAAAGCTGATTTCCCAATTAACAGTTTGCTTGAAGAGAATGTAGCTTAGAAAATGATACATTCCTAAATCATATCTTTATGTCTATTTGAATGAACAATGATGAGCATCAGTCCGTATCCATTACTCTCAAGGAGCATTATTCCTCAATGGGAGTACCCAACCATGAAAAATAATTGCAATTGTTCCCAAGATAGAGTTTGGTTATACTCATTACTTTTAGTTATGCTTATGTATATAACAGATTATTCAGTCATTTATGTGGCACTGAAGTTTATGAATTTGCTGCCATCTTCTAACATTTTTACAGTCATTATTTGATGGATTGTAAATCACTTTGAAAGGATGAGGTAACTTATAGGGCTATATAGAAGTTCTTTCTATTCTAAAGCCTAAATCAGAAAATTACAAGTGTACCATAACTTCAGAATATTTCTTTTGATGGAGTACCTTGTATTAGCCTAAGCTTTAATATTTTTGAATATCTTCAACAGTCACCAGCTGTTAAGGGAAAAAGCTTAAAGCAAAAATGATTCAGGATGAACTCACTTACCTTTTGGTTCGTGGCATGCACTTAAGCAATCTTTTTCAGTTCTAAAGTTATTCTTGTTTCCAAAGCAGCCCCCATAGATAAACTGTTCGCATTGTTTTGTTGACTTATTATAGAAATACCGATAAAAAAGCCCTCGACATGGTCCACCATCAGCTTCCATTTGACAAAGATTTCTTCGATCTGTTAAATGTATATATTTTTATCATTATATATCATGAAACAGAAGTTTTAAAGTTTTCTAGTACTATATTCAATTTCACAAAAGCAACCAACAGTCAGGACAAATAATTCAGTTGATACTATGTACTATTTATTTTAGAAATTAAAAGCAATTAAAACTTTAATCAATTCACTGCTTCAGACAAGGTTGACAGATGCTTTGAACAGCACCATCTGCGAGCTCCCCTCCAAGTTGCACAACATCACAAGTTGAAAATAAATCCTGCTTTTTCTCCCCCCAGAAAATTGCAGAATACCCATCTTAACTGCACTGTGGTTGTATCAACAACATATGGACTACAGTAGTGCAAAAGGCAGATTACCACCATCTTCAAGAGCAATTAGGGAAGGGCAATAAATGCTGACCCTGCAGCAATGCATGGATTCCAAGAACAAACACAAGAAACACAAATGCAAGCACTTCACAATTCAGTTACAGATTATTTATTGCAGATGGGTATATGTTTCTCAACTAAATTAAATAATGTATTTAAATAATATTAAAGCAAACACTTTTATATGAAGAAAAAAATGATAACAATATTTTAGTGCCTGAAAATATTTCCTGTGCACATTTTAAATGTTTTTGGGTTAGAAGATCATTTGAGACCACAGCAGTGCCTCATATTAGTAGAATATCTTAGGAAGAAACATCCTTCCTACAGCAGGGAGACCAGAATTGCATGCAGTAATCCAGAAGTGGCCTGAACAATGTCTGTACAGCTGCAATATGACCTCCCAACTCCCATACTCAATGCACTGACCAATAAAGGCAAGCATACCCAACGCTGCCTTCACTATTCTGTACACTTGTGACTCGACTTTCCTGCACTCTAAGGCCTCTTTGTTCGGCAACACTCCCTAGGACCTTACCATTTAGTGCATAAATCCTGCTCTGGTTTGCCTTTCAAAATGCAACACCTCACATTCATCTAAATTAAACTCCATCTGCCACTCCTCGACCCATTGGCTCATCTGATCAAGATCCCGTTGTACTCTGATGTAACCTTCTACACTGTCCACTACACCTCCAATTTTGGTGTCATCTGCAAACTCACTAACCATACCTCCTATGTTCATGTCAAATCATTTGTATAAATGACAAAAAGCAGTGGACCCAGTACCAATCCTTGCAGCACACTGAGTCACAGACCTCCAGTCTGAAAAGCAACCCTTCACCACCACCCTCTGTCTTCTATCTTCGAGCCAGTTCTGTATCCAAATGGCTAGTTCTCCCTGTATTCCACATGATCTAACCTTGCTAACCAGTCTATTATGAGGAATGCCTTACTGAAATCTATATAGATCACGTCCACTGCTCTGCCCTCAATCCACTTTGTTACTACTTCAAAAAACTCAATCAAGTTAGCAAGACATGATTTCCCACAAGCCATGTTGACTATCTCTAATCAGTCCTTGCCTTTTCAAATGCATGTAAATCCTGTCCCTCAGGATTCCCTCCAACGACTTGCCCACACCAATGTCAGACTCACCATTCTACAGTTCCCTGGCTTTTCCTTACTACTTTTCTTAAATAGTTGCACCACATTAGCCAACCTCCAGTCTTCTGGCACCTCATCTGTGGCTATTGATGAACTCATTCATGCTGCCACAATCTTTATTATTCCTTGAGATTCAAACTTGCAGTCATGTCTACATTGTGACATTTTATCAAATCCCTCTTGGAGGTGTATGTACACATCAACCATACTACACTTATCAAAATACGATAAAATGTGGAGCTGGAGGATCACAGCAGGTCAGAGAGTATCCAAGGAGCAGGAAAGTCGACACTTCATGTCAGGACCCTTCATCAGGACTTTTTCTGACCCTTATCAGATGTCTGTTATCTCATCAGAAAGCTCAGTCAAGTTTGTTCACCCTTAATATAGCCTGTCAGCTATCCTTAATTAATCCACACTCGTCCAAGTGCCCACAATTACCCTGCCACTGTGAAAGACTCTCAGATGGCCTCCCATACCACTAAATGAAGACCTTAAGTGTATGATTAATGCCAACTTAGAAAATTCATCTCAACATCGTCGGTATTAAACAAGCAGAGAGCAGCAAATTGCCTTATGGACAAAGCAAGCCATGACAGAGTTGCTAGTATACACCTCAGAGAGGTGCGTGTTCATTCACTGACAAGCCCTCAGCGCTTCTGAAGGAGCCCAGCATTGTGAAGTAGATGAGAACCTGTTGTGGGCCATCCTCCTGCCCCTCAGCAGCTCGTCTCCTGTGAATTCTGCCCTCACTCACCTATGTCCCGAGTCCCTTGCTCATCCTGAATTTCTGGTGGGTACAGTTCCAGAAGATACCACCATTTCCTCGAGTTGCATTGCCTGCAATGGACAGCTATCAGCTTCTGTTTGGCCAGAAGCTCTCAGGAGGTGGGATTTCCACCACCTGGAGTCCTTGATCCTGGAAAAAGTCAACTACTGACCACGTAAACCCTCCCCAAATGAAGTGATGCAGGATTCTTGTTATCTCCCCAGTTGCTAGTTGAGATCCATGACTCTTACATTAGATATCATCCAACATTCCAAAAAGCTTTCCCACACTGAGGTCAAACTAGCTGGCTTATAACTGCTGTGTTTATAGCTAAATTGGTTGTTTGATATATCCAAATCAAATCTTTAGCCTTTGGACTTCACAAAGTGGAGTTGAGGAATGTAATGGGGTAATAGCCAAGGTGAGAGAGACAGTTTTTGTTGGAGTTATGGAATTTAGAATGGAGATAAGGGTGTGTTTGACCAAATAAGTAGTTACAGAATTGTCAGAGGAATGAAGAGAGGGTCAAAGGCTAGTCAGTTGAGATTTTGAAAGATTAAATTACTGTTGTAGATTCAGAATCCATAAGGTTATCTTGTAATGCAGAGATAACCCGGGCTTCTTTTCTTTACTGCAAAACATCTTCTGAAATGTCTTTCTCCTGACTCCTCAAACCCCACCTTCAATATTTAGGGGTGGCACGGTGGTTAGGACTGCTGCCTCACAGCACCAGGGACCCAGATTCAATTCCAGCCTCGGGTGTCTGTCCTTGTGGAGTTTGCACATTCTCCCTGTGTCTGCGTGGGTTTCTTCCGGGTGCTCCGGTTTCCTCCCACAGTCCAAAAAAAAGACGTGCAGGTTAGGTGGATTGGCCATGCTAAATTTCCTGTAGTGTTCAGGGATGTGTAGCTTACATGGGTTATAGGGGATGGGTCTGGGTGGGATGCTCTGAGGTTCGGTGTGGATTTGTTGGGCCGAAGGGCCTGTTTCCACACTGCAGGGATTCTATGATAATAATAAATACAAAGAGCTCATGGGCTTCTTTGCCAAAAAGACTGAGACCATCTGATCCACTACCTCTGCAGTGTTCCTCCTTTCCACTGATTCAAGGATAAGAGATGACTTGTTCGAAGTGTACAAGATCCTGAACAGTCTTGAGAACGTTGATTTACAAAGCATGTTTCCTCTTGTGGGTGAATCCAGAACCAGAGGCACTGTTTTAACATTGTAGGATACCCTTTTGGGACAGATGAGGTTTTTTTTCCCTTTCAGACAGTGGTGCGACTTTGGAATTGTTTGTCCACAAGGCAGTGAAGGCAAGGGCATTGAAGATCTTTAAGGCAGAAGTATGCCTTACAAGAATCTATGGTTATTGGAGGTAGATGGGAATGTGGAATCCGAAAGACAAACAGATCAGCCATGATCTTCTTGTATGGTAGAGCAAGCTCATGAAGGTGAATAGTCTACCTCTTCTATTTTCTGTGTTCTTCTACATGCTCTCCCCTGATCAACCCTGTATTCACAGCTTGCTCTAATTTCACTTCTATCTGTCGTCATTTTCTTTCTCAGTTTACTTTGTCCATGAGACCCACCTCCCTCAATTCTATTCCTGCCAAACTGCTATCTACCTAATTCTCCTTCTGCTCCCTTCGTGAGTTCATGTCATTATTTGTTCAGTCTTTTCAGGTATGGTCCTACTCCACTTCAAAATCAGCCATACACCTCTCCTGAAAAAGTTAACTTTTGACCCCACTGTCCTTCAAAACTACTGTTCCATCTCCAATGTTTCATCCCTCTCCACAGTAATTGTATGTGTTACTGCCTCCCATGTTTGAATCCTTCCAATCAGCTGTTTGCTCCTCAGCATTAAAGCTGTCCCTGTCAAAAAGGCAAATCTGCGAAAGGATCATTTACCTTTGTCACAGTCACCCTTTCTCACACTTTGTCAATTTTCCTTGTACACCTCTCCATAGTTGTTCAGTTGGTTAAGAGTGCGCTAGTACTATTCATCTTTCTCATTGTAGTCAAAGTATCATTTGAAATGGCTTCTCTTCTTGCTCTGACACCATTTTTTCTACTAGCCCTCAAGGATTTATCCTCGACACCACAACACAAGCCCCTGCCCATTTCTAATCAACCCATTGTGTTTCTAGATAGTGTCCATGAGAGGCAATGTTAATTCTAACATGCACGCCGAGGCTACCTGGCCGTTGCTCCTGACACCTTTCCTGACTCCTTCACTGTTGCCAAATTATCAGATTACTTATCTGACAGCTAGCATTTGATGAGGAGAAATTTCTTTCAAATTACCACTGGGAAGACCAAACTACAGGGCATCCCCAATTTAAGCATATCTGACTTGTGAATATTCGTGCTTATGAATGCTATCTCACACAGGGTGTAATCTCAAAATTTGAGATAGATTCCAGAATGGAAGCCATTTGCAAGCCGGGGACTGCCTGTTCCATCTCAGTCAATATCCAATCCAATCACAGCTGCCAAATCTATCCCTCGCTTTATCAAAAGAGTTGGCACGAGACCATTTGTGACATTCATGCCAGGAACAGCTTTCAAACACAGACATCTACTCCACCATTAGGATGGTCCATCACTACCATGGTAACATTGTCTTACTCTGCTTCTGTTTCAGCCATTTGCTGCTGAAATCCTCATTCATGCCTTTGCTACCT